ATTACAAGTTCAACATTCACTACTTCTATCTGCCTAAAATCATCCACCAATTGGTCTCATCTTGAACTTCGTCTTCCTCTTTGTCATAGTTCGAGTGAAGTCTATGCGGACAATCGTCAGTGTGTACTTGTCCAATCTGGCAGTTGCTGACTCCATGTTCCTCCTTACTGCATTGATCACGTCATCAATACCTGTGGAGTTTGAAAGCCAAAAACTGAAAGATATTATTTTCTTGTCATTGAACCTTACACCGGGTTTGCTTCTTACTGTTTTGTCACGGCCATAGCAGTGGAAAGATTCTCAGCTGTTCATCACCCTATAACTTTCAGGGCATCAGCCAGTAAAACTCCGAGCTGCTAAAATATCTACGGCCCTGTGGGTTCTATCCGTCGTTTTGGGAGTTTTCCCACAAATTGTAGAGTACAATGTTAAGTCAGGATCTCTTTTCCTCAAAATTCATCTGATTTTGAGACTTATAATTTATGTGTTTAATGTCACAGTCACTCTGTGTATGTACATTTACATTGTGATCAAGCTATGCCGTCAAACTCCTGCTTCGCAGCAAAATTCACAGCCAGTTGGCAAGGTTGCTCGCATGCTGGTCATTAACACTGCTGTGTTTTTTGCATTTATGTATTACGTATAACTGGATTATTTGGACTGTAAAATTGTTGTACTCTAACGAAAGCGCAAATGTAGGCCTACTTAAAATATTTGTCAGTGCAAACATCTTGAACTTATCAACAGTTCAATCAATTCCCTGATCTACAGCGCTACCAACTCGGCCTATCGAAGTGCTATAGCAGAAGCATTCTCCTTTCTGAACCTTGCTCACCACTGCAAAAGCCAAACAGAGCAAGTGTCACGGAAAGCAAGGGAGCAGAAAGAGTCGCTTGCTATCGGACCAAATGAAGCTGCCGCAGATGCAGCAAAGGAGCAGATAGAACTATCTGCTATTGGGCCAAAGGATGCGAGTCAACAACTCGTACATGTGCAGATAGAACTGTCTCCAATTGGGCAAAGGAATGCACCTCAAGATGTAGCGCAGGACCAAACTTGCCCAAAGGATGCAGCTCAAGAACTTGTACATGTGCAGATAGAAGTGTCTCCAATCAGGCCAAATGATGCGGCACAAAACCTAGTGCAGGACCAGATTGGGTCGAAAGATGAAGCTCAAGAACTTGAAGGGATAGATTTGTCTGCAATTGAGCCGAAGGATGCAGCTCAAGAACCAGCACAAGATGGATCTTAAGTGTCTGAAATTCGGCAGCGAGATTCAGCTCATGAACTTAGCCATCAGAGCCGAAGAATGCAGCTCAAGAACCAGCTCAAGATGGTACTTAAGTGTCTGAAATTGAGCTGCGAAATTCAGCTCATGACCTTGACCATCAGAGCTGAAGGATGCAGCTCAAGAACCAGCTCAAAATGGTACTTAAGTGTCTGAAATTGGGCAGCGAGATTCAGCTCATGAACTTGACCATCAGAGCTGAAGGATGCAGCTCAAGAACCAGCACAAGATAGAACTTAAGTGTCTGAAATTGGGCAGCGAGATTCAGCTCATGAACTTGACCATCAGAGCCGAAGGATGCAGCTCAAGAACCAGCACAAGATAAAACTTAAGTGTCTGAAATTGGGCAGCGAAATTCAGCTCATAAACTTGACCATCAGAGCTGAAGGATGCAGCTCAAGAACCAGCACAAGATAGAACCTAAGTGGCTGAAATTGGGCAGCGAGATTCAGCTCATGAACTTGACCCTGGGCAGGAAGATCTGTCTGTAATATTGGGCAGAAGGATGGAGCTAAAGGAACCAGAACAAGAGAAGACGGAACTGTCTGCAATAGGGGCAAAGGATGCAAACCAAGAAAGTGCTCATGTACAGATAGAACTGTCTGCAATCGGGCGTAAAGATGCAGGTCAAGAACTTGTACAGTACCAGATATAACTTTCTGCAGTTGGGCAAAAATGATGTAGCTCAATAATTTAATCACAAGAACAAATGGAACTGCCTTCAAATGGGCAAAAGAATTTAGGAGTAGAACTGTTTAGATAGAAGTGTCTGTAATAAGGCTGGCTGAGCGATTAAGCTCAGGAAAATCGTCTTTTATTTAGACTTGGGGCAAAGTCGGTCATTGTTTTGCGTACAGTACCGTTTACTGGCTCCACACACGCAAAATATCACTGCAATGCGCGTAGTCTTGTTTCCAGACCAAATGATGCTGAGTATTGATGTTCAATTACCGACTTGGCGAATACGTTTTCAACTTTGTTCACATTGATCTCTGTATACACAGTATACGGAGATCAATGTTTGTACACAACACATGGGGGTATTTTGAATCGCTAGCGAATTCTATGCGAGCACTCTGATTGGTTCAGATTCAAGCGTGTGTTTTCTCGGCAGCCACAGAAGGTCATTCTCATTACTTCGAGGGTTTGTACTTTGTGTTGTGTAACATTACAAAATTAATTATAGGGCATACACGACTCAAATAAAGCAAGTTTATCACAATGATACATTTTATTTCTTTACACAATTTACCCAAGCTGAGTGTATATGGTCGTTAAAACATACAATGTATGTCCCTGATGTATGTAACGGAATGAATGAGTCCTCATTTGCATCTAGCGGAGCGCCATTGGATTTCACCGCAAAAATGCACTGCATATGTATTGCGCTGCTTGCATATACATGTATGAATATAACGGTGAGAGGACGTAATCGTCAAGTTGTTAGATGTCGCAACCCGGCTGATTACGTGCCAGCCTTATACCAGCCGGGCCTTTAGAGTTCGACTGAATTTTCACGGACAAAATACGACTTTAATGACTTGTCAACAAGTCTATCTTTAATCGGGCGGAATGATGCAAGTGGGGAACTTGTACAGGAACCAGTTCGCCAAGGGGATCTAATGACACCATACACCAGTATGAGGTCATTCAAATGCCATGGACTCTACGAATTGAGATAAATCTTCAAAGAAATATATATCTCTTTATATGAAATATCATGAAGATTTGAGGCTTTGCATGGTGGAGATACTAAATAAGGAAAGGTATGCGGAAACACCATGTGCGAATAATTTCTCAACTAAGAGAATGGTTCTTTATAGCTCGACGTTCCGGTCAGTATGCTCTCCTGAAGACGGTCAGAGCATACTGACCGGAACGTCGAGTTTTATACCTCTGGTTCCTTTCAGAACCATTCTCTTAGTTGAGAAATTATTCGCACATGGTGTTTCCGCAAACCTTTCATTATATGAAATATCTTTTTTTTCCCGCCTACATCTTTTCATATAATTTAAATGTCTAGGTCCTTATACCTTAATTTGCAAGCAATGATGTAGTCTTCACAAGTCCATCACAAGTCACCCATTGGTCCAAGGCCTATGTTGGGTTAATTTAAATGAGTTTTGTCCAAGTACGTGAGTAACAATTGAAGTCCCTCACAAGTCCCCATAAGTCATGTTAGGCCATCAGCTTGGGGTTTTGGTCAGTATCAAATCAGGGCATAAATGATTATAGTGCGCATGCGCAAGGTATACCGCTCCTAGAGTGGTAACAAGCATTTTGATGGACATTTTGAGAAAAAAAAGGTGATAACACCTAAAAAGCTGCCACCGCTGCAATGCTATCACATTTTTTCCAAATCCGGAGGTGTACTTGCCAAAAATTGCTATGATGATTATTCCCCTCATTTGATACTGGTGGCCAAAATTCTGGACCGAGGCATGATGGCCTATGACACAAGCCATGGGAATAAATTCTGACCTCAACATTCTGTTGTTTATCCCCCGTTACTTGTGACTGGACTGTGACTTGGACTCAGAGACTTCTTGTTGACGACCGAAGTTGTATAATGATTTGTTAGGAGATCTGGTTAATGAAATTCCAAACTTTATTCACAACGTAAAAATCAGGATGTCACAAATGTTGTTCGTTGCTATTTCGATGCACCTCTTGAGTCTGTCAGCAAGAAAATGTTAGCCTTCTTGACTATCGACATGATTTTCATTAAATAAAATGAATTTCTGTTTGTATATGTAGACGCACCAGCAACAAAAATGTGAACGTTCTTGTTTAAATTGAATGCTTGTGAGAACCCACATATTAACTTGTGTGAATTGAACAAATAAGATAAGAATCATATCTCTGAAAGTGAGAGTAAATGACAAGGAAAGAAAACTAAGTCACTGTTATGTCAACCACACTGACTCTAAAAATAATCTGAATAACTAGAAAGAATAACGGAAAAGAAGACAACAAGAGTCATGTGCGAGATCAGGCGCAGATCCGGGGGTGGGGGGGGGGTAAAAAAAAACCAGCTCTGTCCCCCCAAAAAAATTATCATACAAATTCCTAAAAAATCAGTCGAAACACCCCCCCCCCCCCCCCCTGTGACACCCCCAAAAATTGTTTACTGGTATAATGTCCGCCTGTTCAAAATACGGTACACCATTTAGTATCGTCGAATTTTTAACAGTGCCCTCTATTGAAATATGGAAATATGTTTCCATAGCGAGGGCCAATAGTAGCCCATCTGGCTTACGAAGAAACACCATTATAAATATGGGGGTATTATTACACGATCATTTTCAAGTTTCCATTTTATTTGGCAGTCCTGTTTTTAAAATTACAGTAAAAAAGCGTATAACATTGTAGATAATATTAGTACTTTTGCAACTGTCTTTGAATAAAAGGAGTAATATTTAAGTAATTATGGAAGTTGAAACTGTTACGAATAATTGTAAATCCCCTTCAAAAAATGAAGTGCGCGCCGACTGTAAACATAAGCTCCTTTTGGCCCATGTGGTTTGTTGTAGTTTAACTAATCACCCTGAAAACGAACTCGTTCGCGGTTTGTGCCCATTTTTAAGGTTACAGAACCGCAATGACAAAATGCCCGATGCACACAATGAGGTTTAGAAATATATTGTTGCATTATCAAGGGGGCCATGCCCCCCCCCCCCCAAAAAAACGAAACCAATTTTTTTGTTTTATGTGACATCGCAATAAAGGCAGGCAATGAGTACACCCCCATCTTTTCCTCAAAACAAATTGGTAAAAGTGGTCAGAAATTGCCTCAGATCGCATCACAGAGCATCTAGAATCCAAAAAATTCTCGGGGCCCTTAAGCGGGCCCCGAAACCCAACGCCGTAATTTTTTGGACCCACTTTTTGGGGGGACCACACTTTTGTTGGCCCCCCCCCTAAAAAAATTGTGTTCTGGATCCACCCTTGCGGCGGACGCGAGTAAAACCACTCATTACAGACTTGATTTCAGGTCTGTCGCTATGGCTGCCATACCCCATGGCAATATTACGAGTGGAAAGTTGTCCGTTCAGCCTGTGACTTTTGGAGAGTAATATAATTTCGGGAAGAAAAAAAAAACCTGTCCCCCCCACGTTCAAGGAGCGATTTCCGCCCTTGCGTGTCTGTGACCATTCGTTGTTATCCTGTCTAGGGTCAAAACCTGTGCTGGGCCAAGTTTGTTCAAAAGGGTATCTGGTAATTCTATGCACATGGAACGGCTTAAGCTAACGAAAAAAACTGAGACATCCTTTTCTTCAGAACAATTTCTTCAACTTGGACACAGTGATTTAACCACTCTCATTTTTGAAGTTGACCCCTCATGGCCCAATGCCTTCAACATGGCCAACACCTCTCTCCACACAAGGCTTTGCACGTCCAATGCGACCTTTACATATAGTCAAATTCAACCTTTTTGCACAAACCAGCCAGCAATCTTATTAGCCAGGTAAAACTTGGCCGAGTACAGGTTTGGACCCTTGACAGAAAAATAATAGATGCTCAGTAGATTCAAATAAAATTGTGTTTTCGTAACTCACACCACCAAAAACAAACGCTAATGTAACGTATAGGCAGGCACCAGACTATTCCTCATTAGCATACGTGTTTAAAAATCTTGCACATGCAAATGATCCAATACCAGGGTAAGAGAGCAGGTAGTGATGGGTGCATACTGCTCAACATCCTGGGGACGAGGTTGTACCCACAATATATTGCGACACCTGCATTTCCTTCAAAACAATTGGTGAAATAGGTTAGCGGTCACCAGCGCCATTGTATATAGCTGGCGGGGACCAGCGTAAGCAATTGAATGCGGCCAAACAAATCCACCAAAAATAGGTTTTGTACACTTTTGACTTTTGTAGATTGGTCGAAACAATTTTTAAGTTAATTAGTCATTGAAAAGATACATAGATCTTCAATTAAATTTGGTTTATCAAATC